AACTGCAGGATTTACCATAATACTTTGTGCAATATACCCTCATGCAATTCACGCTGAAAACAGTACAAGCTGCTTCTGCTTTTTTTTATGGTCATTTATTTTAAACTACTGCTAGGCCTACTTAGTATTTTTTTATAACCATAGTGTACTTATCTGTTATTTTTTTACTTATTATGTTTTTTATTATTAATAACGTATTCGTACTTTTTTATATAATATGTAAGTCTACTCTTTTTAATTAATCTGCACTCTTGCTTTTGTAGTACCATACATTTCCCCGTTGCTGATAATTGATCTGCTGTGGCTGGGTATAGGCCACCTTAGAAACTCGCAGTGATTTTAAAGTAGATGACAATGTATGTGTGTCGAATAAGAGGAAAAGATGTCTGGTTTTCTTGTTATTATTGCTATCAGGAAATGTACAACCTAACCCTGGTCCGCCCAGCAGTAGTCAGATCGCTACTCCTGCTGATTTTAAAGCTAGGTCTGGGTTGGGATTCATCCACTTAAATGTGCGCAGTCTTTTACCTAAACTAGATTTTGTCCGCATTTGGGCAAGCTCGACTGACGCTGATGTCATTGTTTTATCAGAGACGTGGCTAAATAAATCTGTTTTGGCCTCTGACATTGCCTTAATGGTTACAATGTATATCGTACCGACCGGCCTAATAAAGGTGGTGGCGTTGCCATTTATGTGAAGAATACGTTTAGTGTAACCACATTGGTTTCCAAATCGATCAGTAAACAACTAAAATGTTTACCCTTAAATATCGAAGAGGCAAAGGGTCAACAGGTCATGGTGGTGGGCTGTTACAGACCCCCCTCAGCTGTCAAGGACTCCTTGTCTTCATTGGCAAAACTTTTATCTCAACTTGACTACAAGGAAATAGTGCTACTTTGAGATTTTAACTGGGACTGGTTAACTACAGTGTCAGAGGATTTTAAAAACCTTTGTATCTCTTTAAATGTTACTCAGATTGTTGACAGTCCTACTCGCCCTAACATTAAGTTCCCAAATAAATCCTCCTTAATTGATCTCATCTTAACTTATGCTCCCTATAAATACTCATCTGTGGGAGTATTTGCTAATGATTTGAGTGATCACTTTGTTGTAGCCACAATTAGGGACACACAAGTCCAAAACGGTAAACCTTGTATTATCATTAAGAGAGACACAACACATTTTGTGGAGCAGGGTTTTGTTCATGATCTGTTTGGTTTTGATTGGGGAAAAATCGATCTGTATGATGATGTTGAAACTGCATGGTCTTATTTGTATCTTGGTTTTATGGAAATTATTGATAGACATGCACCTGCGTACATTTAGAGTGAAGGGATGAGATAATCCTTGGTTTTCTGCTGAATTGTCTAGATCAATTGTTTATTGATCTTTCCAAAGCTTTCGATACCGTCGATCATCATATCTTGAAGCAGAGGCTACTCAGTATTGGCATATCCAGCCATGCAGTGGGGTGGTTTGTGAACTACCTCTCTGAAAGGTCCCAATGTGTTCAGTTTGATGGGCTCACTTCTGAGTGGTTAAATATTACAAATGGTGTACCACAAGGTTCTGTTTTAGGTCCACTTTTATTCTCCATCTAGTTCTGTTTAGGTCAAAATGTGGATGAAGCAACTTCACATTTTTATGCAGACGATACCTTGATGTACTGTGCAGGTCTCTCCATTAAGGAGGATGTTGTTCAATTACAGGCTATTTTTAATATTATTCAGACGCAGCTCTCTGAGCTTAAGCTTCTTTTAAATGTGGATAAAACCAAGGCAATGCTATTTTTAAAAGCCAAAAGACACCGGAGACCACTTTGGATATTGCTACTACGCAAGGGAAAGTACTAGAAGTGGTTACCTGTTATAAATACCTTATCTGGCTTGATGATTGTCTCTCTTTTAAACCTCAGGTCAATAATCTGCTTAGAAAGCTAAGGGTGAAGCTAGGTTTCTTTTTTAGAAACAAGTCCTGTTTCTCATTTGAAGCCAGGAAAAGGCTAGTCACTGTGACCTTTTTACCTGTGCTGGACTATGGTGATTTGTTGTATATGAATGCACCTGCCCATTGCCTGATCAAGTTAGATGCCGCCTCACAGTGCTCTGAGATTTGTTACTAACTGTAAAGCACTTACTCATCACTGTACCCCAGAGCAGGTCTGCCATCACTTAATGTTCGGAGACTCAGTCATTGGTACATGTTCATATACAAAGCCATGCTGGGTAAACTACCACCTTACATCTGCTCACTGATATCACAGAGAGTCGCAAGTAGCTATTGCCTAAGATCCCAGGATGTGTTTTCATTACATGTACCAAGTGCTAGGACTGTATTAGGCACTAAAGCTTTTATGTGCGCAGCTCCTCTAGCATTATGTTGTATGTGTCCTTTTTATTTTCTGCTACATGTGTAACCAATGTGTGGCAGGTCTCCCTTGTAAAAGAGATCGTTGATCTCAATGGGATTTTTTTACCTGGATAAATAAAGGCAACAAAGAAAAAAAGAAATTGACAAACATTTAGTATAGTGTTTTTATTATATACAATCAGATTATTTCCTAGCATATGGACCAAACAAATCTACCTCTATAAGACATTGATCCTGTCAGAAACTCTCCCCACGTCCACATATATGACAAGTGTGTTAGGCTTAGCCGCAGATTTATAATGACTCTTTTGTTGAGGCACAAAAGGAGGCATGATAATGATTTAATCCCATCCAATCTGAGCGGCAGATCTGCCTTCCTTCCATCCTACCTTTCCTCTCCAGACTCATTCTGCTGCAGCTTCAGTGGCAGATGGTGGATGAAAGAGGAAGCTGGGAGGAGCAGGGGAATGAGAACAGGTGGGGGTGAAAACTGAAGAAAAAGAAAGGGCACAGGGGTCAACTGGGGCAATAGAAAGGGGGAGGAAACGTACATATAGACTTGCAGAGGGAACGATCGATGGATGGATTTTTTTCCTTTACATTGTGCCTCCCTAAATCTAGTTCTGTTTTTGCCAGATGTCGACCAACTTTGTAAAAACGGAAAAAAAAGTCTAGAATAAAACTTGGAGAAAGTCAGACATTGGAGCAAAATATAACGGCTGAATTGGCCCTTTTGGAAAATATTTTTGTACAATCAAATTGGTCTCAATGTTGTTTCAATGTACTGTGATACGTTTCAATACAAATATTATCTGAGTTAGAGCTTATATTTGTTTTCTTCTCATGTGGCATGCTTTTTCAACCACATGAATGCAACGTTTCAAGATGAATAGAACAGAGAAGATCAGCCTATACAGGAATGTAAAAACTCAATTTACTCAGTTATAGGTCACTTTCCAAGTAAACCGAACCGAGTTGTATTTATATTCTAAAGACAGTAGACAACAGTTTTATTGGCACTCAAAGTGAATAATGCCCTTTCAGAGAGGCTTAAGTCTCAGGTTTAAGGGCTCCGTAAAGAACTGAAGGACCACAATGTGAATGCAGCTGCCTATACCTCAACCCCCCAGACAGTCCCTAATGCTGCCCCCTGCCTTCCAGCTCTGAAGGAAGCCCCAGCAGACCCAACCCCCCCCCTCCCCCTCCTGCTGCAGCACGCTGGGCTGGCCTCGGCAGCTGTTAGGCCAACTGAGGCAGGAGGGGCTGCAGGCAGACAATGCAATGTGACTGAACTCATTATGTGTGTGAGTGTGTGTGTGAGCGTGTGTCACTGACTCTCTTCCCCCTTTTACAATTTTGGGTCTTTTCACGTGTTAGTAATATATCCTGATGTGATAAACAGACAAATGCACTCCTTTGTGCACCAGTCAATCCTTAACTTAAATTCAGATTCAGAATACTTTATTGTCCATTAAAAGTACATATAATGGAAATTATGAATAGAAAGTTAAATCATACGTAACCTAGAGGGTCTTGAACATATGATCTTCAGTGATTGCAATATTACAAGTCTTTTCTCTTGTTTCTTGCAAATGGAGCTGCTGTAAAAATGCAGGCTTGATCTGACAATGATGAAAGTATGTTTGCATCATACCCATGAAAAAGTGACATAATAAAATAAGCCAAACGCCAAGGATACTCATGCAAACCTCTGAAAAGGTATTTCGATTAGTATTATTGCAAAATACATCGTTGAGAAGAGCAAACTCTGGATATGGTTTATGGTGTGTATCATCTCCACTGACTGCAACAGAGCCCCCTGCTGACAGGTCTGTGAACCTGCAACACTGGATGGACATCAGTGTCAACATGTGTCTCAGTAAAGGAAGATCAAAGATACTGCAATGTTGCATACATCTGGTGGTATTCTGCCATTTTCTTATTATTAATACATCCTATAATAGTCCATACTCAAATATGTATGTTTATATGTTCATTCTAATTATCAACAGTTTACCTTGCTGTGATATCTTGTTTTATGAGTTACAATATAACTTTATTTTTGTATTACTTTTTTTTTTTAACCTTGTGTGAATCTGTGCTGTCCTGTTTTTCACTCTCACTCTGTTGCTGCTTTTCCACCACACTTTAAACTCCTGAATGTACCCACGGGGGTTAATAAAGTTCCATCTTATCTTATCTTAATAAGACCAAAATCAACAACTGTCTTAATTATTTCCAATCATATTGTGTGTAGCTATTAGTAAAGCCTATTATTGAAGTAAATCGGAAGAAAAAAAATAATATATATACAAGTACTTTATTTTTTAAACAAGGCTCAGTATTTCCCTTAATAAAGTGGGCACTGTAGGTATCAGAAAAGGTTAATGAAACAGGAGAGATTGCACATTTGTTAGGGACTATTTTCAGAAGCGGATTAATACATGCTGTGCTCTAAGAGATATCAATTTAACATGGATTGCTGATTCTTAATAGTTTTTGCACGATAATATAGTTATACGGCACAGAGGAATAAGATACATCATGATTTTGATACAGAGGTAATACTTGTTAGTTGTTAGTATCAATACAATGTTGGTTTTGGTCTTTTCTGAGGAAATGTTTTGAATATATTTCAAGCTTTATTCTGTACGGTCTTTTTGTAATGTGTATTACACATTTTCTGTTTGTACATATGTAAGACATCCTTCATCATTTCTAATTTAAGATAACTTGAAATATGCCATCATTGAAGACGGGAGAGTGCAGCTCTCAACAGAGATGGATTAACACATTCAGATCACTGGATCTATGTCCACTAGAGCACTTTATATATTATATAGTCACAGGAAGGAATATTACTTCTGTTCTCTTTCAATAAATCAGAGGTTTATTTAACATTTAAAAAGAAACCTGTTGAAACTTTTCATATTCAAGTGTTGATGTTTGGAATGTAAACAAAAGTAAATCAGACAATGACAACTTATTCAGTTACATGTATTTCAAAATATCTAACACCTTGTTTAGCTTTCAGACATACAGACCATATAATGGTCAGGTGCGGAAATCCACTGACCATTACAGTTCATGTGATCATCTCATTGATGCAACTACAACTTATCCAAGAACATAAAACAAAAATAAAAGATCTTTGCAAGTCATTGTTAAAGCATATCGAGGCTTTAAATGTGGTGTAGGCTTAATAAAAAATGCTAAATTCAGTAGCAAAAGGGGAAACTAAAATCTTCTTTCTTTATCGATGTACAATGTAACCCCACAGACAGTAATTCCATTAATAAAATGTTTCTAATAATACAATTTTTAAAACTTACAACAAAGAACCTGTTGAGTACTATCAAAAAGTACAGCAACTAGCGGTGGAGTCCAGAGGAACTCAAATGTTCCTGCACCTGAAGGCCATGTATGTAGCCATACAACAACATCTCTGACACTTTGTTTGCTATAATGCTGGCCGTCCATTCAGTTTGTCATGCATAAGAGAAATAGCTCCGTCTGTAAAGTCTCTGAGAACCTGCACCGTCTCCCTCTGGAGCTGCAGCGACTCGCGCACAAACTCCTGCTGAGTCTCTGCCAGCTGCTGCACCGACTCGGACAGAAGCTCCAGGGAGCGTGAAACCGTCTCCAGCAGGATGTTGGTGGCATGCTGCTCTTCAAGGCTCAGCGATGCATTGTGTAGCATGTTGTCTCTCATGTTCTGCGAGGGCTGACCTGGCAGTGGAAGCGTAGGGGCTGCTGCTGCTGTTGCTGGTGCTGCTGCTGCTGCTGCTGTTGGTGCTGGGCCTGCTGCTGCTGCTGCTGCTGGGCCGGAAGACTTCGGAGGTGGTCCTTGTTTTTGGATGCCATTGTTTCCTTGGTGAATCTCAGTTGGTTTTGTGGAAGGAAGCACATCTTCCCTTTGGTCGTCATCTGAGTCTCCTAATGCAGCGTCAACATCTTGAAGTAAAGAGAAAAGGCTTGTCAGTGTTTTCTTATTCTGAAAAAACCTAAATCTGTACTTCAGAGAAGAAACTCACCTTCTGTTGCAGGAATCTCATACTGCACATCATAGGCAGTTTGTGAAGAGTCCTCTGCAACATTCAAAGCATTTTAATGAAACAGTTTGAATGCATTTCTCCACAGGAACTTATTTAAGGGGACACATTTTACTGATGTTCAGGTTCATATTGGTATTCTGTGCCTGTACTGCGACATGTCTCCATGCTTTAATGTTCAAAAAGCTCTTTATTCTTCTCATACTGTCTGTGCTGCAACACCTCTTTTCACCCTCTGTCTGAAACCAGAGCCCAGTCTGCTCTGATTGGTTAGCTGGCCGGCTAAAAATTCCAACAATTTGTTTGTGTGTCTGTGTCACCCATATTCCACACATTTGTATCCAGTGAGAAAATGCATCCCATTTGCTTTTGAGAAGAGGGTGACGTGGATTTGCTCTAAATATTTTGGTGTGTGGATTATGTAGACATATGAACTTGCTCTACTGGAACTGATATCTCCGCGAGCAGACTCGGATAAGAGGTAGAAGATGGATGGATAGATGAACTTCCCTGATGTTTAGAATGAACTGAAGGTGAGTAAATAGTGACATATGATTGTTTCTGACACTTACTCATTGTGTAGGACATTGGTGGGGGCATAGATGCCCCGTCCAACCCGCCATTAGGAGAACTCTGCATTCCAATAATGTCCTCTTCCATTTCTTCTTCCTCCTCTGGCACATCATCGTCATCTCCCAGAGGGCCAAAGTCCCCGGAGCTCTGGTCTTCCTTGTCCATCTCCAGAATCTGGAGCACTATTTTTTCCGTCTGATTAAGGTCTCGGGAGAGTCGAGAGTTGAGGCCTCTGTTGGGCACTGTCCCTGACCGCATGGCACCCACTTTCCGCTTCGTGTCACACTTTAGATCGGACCATTTCTTGATGACCTCGATGATCTCACGTTGGCACTCCCCGATCTCATTGACACGGGCAGTAATCTCTGCCCATGTGCGCTTCTTTATGTCTGTTGGTACACCACGATTGAAATTGCCTTTGGGGGACAAAACAAAATGACCCTAAGCACTTGCCTTAAAATGATATTGCGTCAGTGATCAGATCTCATTAACATTGTATTTCTCACAGCTTCACTGTAATGTTCACTTTTATGACTTAACCATTGTATTGGTTACTTGGTTTAATGTTTTTGATTAACAAGCTACTAGGCAATCATCTCATTTCCAGGTACTCAGACCTCAGTGTTATTCTTTCATCTGAATGAACTTACCCACAACAACCATACGATGCTTCCTCACTTCGTCCAGCAGTATGTGGACTTCACTGAAAGAGAAGCGAGCTTTTCTTTTCTTGAAACGAATAAAACTGTCTTGGTTGTAGAATATTGGTGAAGACATCCTCCCAAAATTGGTGTCCAGCTACTGTGTAGTCTCTGCTGTGCTTCCACTTCTCCTGCTGTCTGATGACAGTTAACAACAAAAAGCATGGGAGTGTTAATTATGTGATGTATATGAATGTGCTCATGTGTCATAAATATATTGATTATTAAACTATACTTGCATTTATAAGGTTAGTAGTATCGCTGAGTGACAGCGTTACACTTGTTCGTGCTTAACAGCTTAGCAATAACCGTTCGTGCAGATGTATTGAGTTGATCAATATAGATAATACATTAATATTATCAACACTTTTACTGAAACGAACTTGAATACATATATCTAAGTGGTCTCATATCGTTAAACAGGAAATGGAGCAAGTTCTGCGCGATGACAACAATGTATGTCTGCTAGCCGTCAGAGTGAATGGACAATGGACGATGCTATCGACGCTTAACACACGCGACAGCCTAGTTAGCTAAAGAGCACTCGTAGTTAGCATTACACACATATAATACCTTGATTGCCACATTTCCATGATTATTTTGAACGAGTATCGGTTATTAAATGTCTCTTATATAGTGCAACTTGCACTTAATACAACACATAGCACACACTAGGTTAGCTCTCTCTGCAGTAGGATAACGTTAGCTAACGCAACACAAGACTCACAAATGACTAATAAAGCGACAACCTGACGTTTCCTGACTTCCAGACGAATACCTTAATGCCAAACATAGTTATTGAGATGGTGAACATACCCCAAAGTCAAAGAAGTTGGGGTTTGGTCCAGAAACGTAATGATAAATGTCCCTATCTTCAAGATAGCTAATGTCAAGCTAGCCAGAATGCAGCTAACGCTCCTCAAAAGATGTCCGGTTACCCTCAGGTAATAGCTAACTAAAGGCGCTGGCTAAAACAAGTATTGATGAACACATTGATCTTAGTATGGATATAGTTCATGTCGTTTAGGTGTTGGTTTACATGTAAAGTTTAACAATAACAACGATATATCTAGCACATTTGCTAATTGAGTTCACTTACTTTTGTTTCTTAAACATTTCCCGTTGTGACAATGCTTTTATTTTGAAGGAGCACGCCTTTTCTGGTAACGTAGGCTGTCTTGACCATAGACTGTATGGTCTTCTTGACACACACATTCACACAAACACACATTCAAAGCATTTTAGGAATCAGAGCCTGGAAGAAAAACATTACGGTTGGATGGATAGATAGCTACGAATAGTATTGTAAACATAGCTAAGAACAAAAGTACTGTTCTTAAAGGTGGGGTAGGTAAGTTTGAGAAACCGGCTCGAGATACACTTGTTGTTATATTCCATGGAATGCTCTCAACATCCCGATAGCAATGAATATCTGAAGTGCTTTGACAAAAAATCCATTAAAAAAAATGTTCATCTGTGGAAGCCGTGACGCTGTAAAAAGCACGACCAATCATCTGAGCCGGCCCGGCTAAAGTAACTGGATGGCCTACCTGCCTGTCAGCCTTCCATCTGGGCACAAACTTATCTCGTGCCCTCATTGGTCATGTGCGCGTTCGTGTGTGTTGGAGGAGGGGCTCTGTAAGGAAGTGGCAGATTTCTTCCGGTTGTGTATTTTCAAATTCCAGCGATCTCGAGCTGGTCTCTCCAAAATTACCTACCCCACCTTTAAGTACAATTTGTAGAGACTTGTAGTAAGTAGTATTTCGAATGTTTGCTACTTTGTACTTTTCACTACATTTCAGAGGTAGGGGAGAAGGGGGTAAGTTGAGCCAGTGGGTAAATTGAACCACCCCCTGTAACCAGGCAACGCCTTATAGTTGTAATCAAGTGACCAGAAATTATGCAAGCTCCACCCATTTCTCATTGCCTGTGAAAGAGAGATACTCATTGTGGTCTGGTAAGTAAACATTTTTACAAAAAAACGTTTTTTGCTTGTCAAAGTACATTTTCTAGATGTCAGCTATATCGGCTGTCATGTCAAAAAAAAATCCAGGTTTAAACACATATTGTATATGTTGATGTGTTGGCAGCGTATTAAACCATGTGAATCATTAAGCTAAAGATGACTCTGAATTTTAATGCTAGGCTATTTTTTCTAAAATGGTGGCTATTATTACCTCATTCACACCAACGGAGTTTCAGGGCCGGTTCGGAGCTGGAGCTTGAAAAGCACCGGGTTTTCCTCTTAGCTCCGGAATCCGGTTAGTTTCTAGCACCAAAAAATTGTCCGGCCAGAGCAAAAGCATTGCATACGTCACGCTTACGTCGAGGCGGGGGCAGGGGCAGATCAACTCCTGAACAACAACAAGAAGCCGGCGCTTTATCCAGTTTGTACACAACGATGGAGAAACTTAACAAGCAGCAGTGGTCCACTGAAGAGACCAGCTACTTACTGGGAATCTGGTCTTCCGAAGAGGTACAGATTAAGCTGGAGCACAATCAGCCATTGTTGTTGTTGTTGTCGGTGTGAGCTGTGAGCTGTGAGGGGTTTCCGGTTTCCGCGCGGTTTGGCTTTATGAAGCAGGCACGCAAACGGTTACGTCATGACGCAAACGATGACGCAGCACCAGTCGGAGTCTGGGCAGTGTGAAAAGAGCCGGAGCTAAACCGAAGAACCGGTTCTGAACATGAAAAGCTCTAGCACGGAGCTTGAACCGGAGTTGCGTTGGTGTGAATGAGGTATATGGGGTAAAGTGAACCATGGGCCTTGGGGTAAGTTGAGCCAGTTTTTCAATGGAGAAATTAATGAAAGTAGGCCAAGTTGATAATAAGAGCTCATTGTAGGCTACATTTAAAGTTGAATTTACCCTGTGTTTGATTGGTAAGATGTATGAAATTGTATTACCATTTGTATAATTACTTTTCCTTTTGAACTTTTTATTTATTTTTCATACATAACACCAATAGAACATACATGGAGATGCTTACATAACTGCAGCTATTGTACACCAGGATTCATCATACATACCCTCCTTGGGCACCAAAAGGACATACAGTTTCTTAGTGTTATCAATTTCTATATTGTGCAAACATTATCAACATATTACAGATATTATCACTCCCCCTCATCGGAAACATGATCGCACAATACCTGAACCATTATGATAGTAAGAGCCAGTGCTTTACCATCCAGATGAAACAAGTACAAGTGCAGTGAATAAAATAAATGAAAAAGAAAGAAATACAAATAAATAAGTAAAGAGTTGCTGCTAGAGATCTGGTGTTGCTTGTATTAATGGGGACAATGTTTTTTCGAATTTGTCAGTTTTCAGCTGTAGTCTTGCTGTGATTTTCTCCATTAAATAAACATTTTTTACCCTGTTTCTCCAGTGGACTATATTGGGGGGCTGTGGGTTCAGCCACGAGACCGTTATCATTTTTTTCGCAATTAGAAGAATTCTTAGTAAGAAAGCTACATTTCTGTCCATATCACTGGGCAGTATACCCAGTATATAAAGTGCTGGGTCCAAAGTAAAGGTAATGCCCAGCACCCGATTACTTTTCCTTTTAACATGTTAAATCAATCGATTCAACCGAAATGTATATTACAATTATTTGAAAAACTAAGCTTGTATTTGGTTTGTTATTTATTGTTTATAGTTACCTTTAATATTTGTTGTAGGTATGTCCAGGTTTGAACAGGTATGCCCAGGTTTGAACAGTGGTTCAATTTAAGACTTCTTTTTTTTTAAAGTAGCAATATTTTCACTGCCCTTGATCAAATATGAATTATTATCATTGCCATTGATAGGAGACATCCTGAATTATAGGTGTGTTTTCATTTTTACTATGTGTAATTTCTCCTTGCTTAGAGGACAGCATAACTAAAAAATTGCTCAATTTACCCCACTCTCCTCTGTAGTATAAGTATGTATTACTACATTTCTTAATATCTTAAATTACAGATTTGGATTAATGATGTGAAATGTAATCAAGTGTTGAATCAGACTTTAGTTCCACCTGGAGTAAATCCACAAGCTACCCTGCAGTATACAAAGTCATTCAAACTAGCTGCACCTTCACCAGCTTTGAGAACACTTTCATGATCAATCATTATAAAACATATCATATATATTATTCTGAAATGGACCAATCAAACAATGACTACTTTTGATATTTTGATGCGAATACTTTTACTTGAGTAACATTTTGAATGCAGAACTTTTACTTGTAACAGAGTACACTCTGGTACTACTTGTACTTAATTACAAGATCTGAGTACTTCTTCCACCTCTGGCTATGAAATATCAGACCCACCATTGAAGCACTCCTTTGAGCAAACTGTCAACGCAAAATATTGGCTTTAACTCAATAATTGAGCAAACAAATATTGTTTTGGTCAAACTTTCAATTCTAAATACTGTTACTGTCAATCAGCTGGGCCAGAACAGATCGCCAATTTAACCATAATGACATTCAATACATGACTGACTAATGATTCAAAGTATCCCGAAACATTTGCTAATAGTGCACCAATAATAACACGCGTTCAACATACCATTATTCCAAATATGGCACAGGGATTTATTTGACCAAGCATTATTAATAACAGTTTAATGACTGTGGCTAACTACATCGTTAAACACATTTCATATTGGCATCTTTGCTATTGGCTGCATGCATTAGTGGCATAAACATGATATATATATGATCAATTTACAGATTGTGCTGGTATTATTTGGTGCAGGCAATTTGAATAAGTACACAGTACAGTGATAACTAATAGTTAGTGGACCATAGAGAAAGCCATGGCCAAGTTGTACTACCATCATTACACATTACATTTAAAATATGAATTGCCAAACAAAACATTGTCTCTTGAGTTGTTGTTACAAATTACTATTAGTAAAGGACCCTGGCGTCCCTGACCCATATGTGAGTGTACAAATGATAAAACCCTGATCTGTTTGAATTAGGCTGCAGTACCTTACTTCACATATCAACCTCAAGTTGTTTGATTTTGTCTCATATTGTTGTTTTTGAAGAAGAATCTCCTGTGAATGGGTTTGGGGCTGGTTTCACAAAGATAATGTCATTGTGGTCTAATAAACAGTTGGACTGAGAGCCATTTCTATACACTCCTGTGTTGTTGCTCCAATTAGAAAAGGGACAACTGCACCCTATGATCTTTATGAGTAAATGGGAGTTGGTGACCAAGTGATTCTCAGAATAGCTCCATCCTACTTCAACCTGTTTAGAGGTCTACTCAGCCACAATAACTGAACATAGGTTTATTCCCCGTTTCAACTTTAAGTGGTATTATAGGTGTTAGCAGAGGTGTCATCAGCTATAAGTGCTGTGTTGGCACATTGCACGGCGGCAGACATTAGCTAGCCAGTGAACACACAGACTTGCATGCATGCGGAAACTAGCTCAGTAAACAAAGCACAGAGACACTGGGATTACAACACCGAGTGGAGTGACCTCATTCTCTGCCCAGGTAGACAAAACTACACACTATCTTTACATAGCTAGTAGTCGTGTGCAGCTCTGAATGATTTATGGTTTGCCATAACAAACTTAAAGGCCCTGCACATCCTCACAGATGTTTTCACTTAGTGTGAAGGGTTGGGTAGTCCTCTGTTCTGGGTGAAATTGGTTGGACTCTGAGGTCACAAAGCTTCATGCAGTGATATTAACGCTAAATGTAACAGAGATTAAGATGCCAATTGAGCAGTCTATACACACCCAGACTGTTCTTAGAGGGATAA